AAATACATGTTAACGGTTAACATCGTCTACACTGCCGTTTGTTTGTGTCCGTCCACAGACATACATTCTTTATTTTTTTTCAAATCGCTTTTCTTGGGCGAGCGAATACAGTCTACTTGTGCTGATCTTTGATACGAAAAGTGCTATTACAATGTAGATTCTCTCTGTATTTAATGGAGTGCATTAAGGGCCGACTTGCTCAGTATTTCGCTTACGCGATTTTAAAAATTTAAACTTTGCACGTGGTACAGTTAGGCAAATCTAATTAATTATTTCGCATGACAATGTGATTTAACCACGACAAAACGTGGAGGGTCCTATGCGTCTCTTTGTACTTACATTATGGGTGACAACTGGGCTAATGGCAGAAATTTAGACTGAGAATTAATGTGTCATTAAATTATTTAACAGGAAGCCAGTATTTCTACAGTTAGTCATCCATTGTCCATTGTGTGGTTCGTCAACTACAGTTAAGAAAGGATATCAGCCTGCGGAAATATACTTTGTTTACAATTATCCCTTACCTCATATAATAACAATAATAACAAATGTCTTTGTTAATATACATAAGTAACGCGAAACTTAGCCACAGAGCTGCTGTGACACATAAGCAAACTGTGTGAGGAAATTTAACAAAGATAAACTCCATACACAAACAAAGAATAAATAGTAATAAGAAGAAAATGAAAAGTAGGTGGAAAGAGTGAGAAAAAAAATGTTTATAATAGTCACATACTGAATGCACTTCACTATCGGCGATGATAGTTGATCGCGAGATCGTTCATAATAGGCACGATCATCGTGCGTTGCTTGTTGCTGCTGCAACCATTTATTTACGACGGCGAATGAGTAATCGGCGATCGTGTGCACACCTCAACGCAATTGAACGCAACCACCCGGCGATTCCCTTTGATGCCTGGCCGAAAAACCACATAAACGATGATCGGTGAGTACAGCCGAGTTTGCTCTCAACAGGATCGTGCTCGCGCTTAATCGTTTGTAATCGCCCATTGTCAAGAGGAGCCAGACACTGTGAGCCAACAAAGCAAATTATTATGAAACAGAAAAAAGTAACTTAACAGACGCACAGTTTACACCACAGTGCCTTTGAACTATCCCATCAGCTATTTTTTAACATCCTGAACGGTACAGAAGTTTTAATGCGATAAATTGGATCAGTAGAATTACATAACCTGATAACATTGAAGGTGAAACTTTTTTGGAAAGCGACAGAGTAGTTGACTGGCATTTCAAAATTCAGGATATGTCTGAGATTTCCCTTCGTAATGTTTGGTCCTGGTACTAGCTCTTCTACAACATATGGCAGTTTTTTAGAGCGAACTACTTTATTAGCCTTCATATCATCAAACTGTGATTTCATCTTCAATCAATTTCAATCTTAAATACATCTTGCAGTTCGAGTTGAAAGACATTGTCACGGCCGCTAGTGTAAAATCCACAAGAAGCTGAAGGATAATTATCTTCTCGTCTAATAGCCGCTCACCATCCCAGTTCAATGGCGGTGATCTTTTGTTCGATTTGGTAGTAATTGGTATAATTGGTAGGGATTCGGAAATTGTCGTATGACGTCGACGCGGTTTTTCCGTTTTTTTTCCCGGTTCGCGAAACGTTCGGAAGGAAAGCGATACCGTTTCGGAAAGTAGAAACTCGGCGCTTTACCGGGAAGCGGGAGCCGTCGCGGTGAGAGGAACGGATCGGATCGAAAACGGCCGGTAAAGTCGAAAAAACCGGTAGATTTTCGTTCTGTCCGACGTTCAACATAGGTTTCCGCCGAAGATAAAGGAGCTGCGAACCTGGCGATTTTTGTGCGAGAAAGCCCCGGCTTCGGGCTCAAAGATAGCGGCTTTCTTTTTTTTTCTTTATGCCTTTTCGTTCGAAAATTTCGATTTTTTTGATTTCCTCGACTACGCGCTACTTTCCGATTTTTCCGGTTTTTTTCCGGGTTCGCGGAACGTTCGGAAGGAAAACGATACCGTTTCGGAAACTAGAAACTCGGCGCTTTACGGTGGAGCGAGAGTTGTCGCGGTAGGAGGAACGAACGCGATCGAAAATGGCCGGTAAAGTTGAAAAATCGGTAGATTTTCGTGCCGTTCGACGCGCTTTTTCTATCTCCTCCGAAGATAAAGGAGCTACGAACCTGACGATTTTTGCGTGAGAAAGCCCGGACATCGGACTCAAAGATAGCGTCTTTTTTTTTCCTTTATCCCTTGTCGTTCGAAAGTTTCGATTTTTTAAAAATTGCCCGACAACATGCTACTTTTCGACGCGCGAAAAAGTCACTTTGTCATCCGGCTCTGTCCTCGCCTATTACTACCGTACGTGAGCGAGTAAAAATTATACAGCTATCGAAAAATAACGATAATGAGCTGAGGAAACGATTCTGACCGTTAGAATTACCGTCAAATTTCGAAAAAGTAAACTTTGAGCGCCTCAAAAGTACCGATGACAGCCGTTTTTCGGCGTACTTTGTCTTCGTCGATACGGACCTGCGTTACGGAGCGACGTAGCTACGATTTTTTTTCGCAAAACGAAAGACCAAAGTCTCCTGATTAAACCGACATACGACACGTTACCCGATCGCATTTTTTAAACTCGGCAGATTACAAAATTCAAAGATATGCAGATATTTTTAGTTTGACGTTTCAATTTTGAATTTCCCCTCCAGATCCCCGGATTCCTGTTAGGCGGGGTATTGTAGATACGATCGTATTACGAAAGCGAGCGCGTGCGAGCGGAACGTCAAAAACGTGCCATTTTCGGCTTCATGACTATCGCTTCATCCAATATTGGATCACGCCAAATAGAATTGTCCTTTTTTACGCGTGAAAATCAACATTTTCGAATAGATTCAGAATTTCTATATTTCATAGTCTAAACGGACCGGACTATAGCCATTATTATAATGATAATCAAGTATGCCTTGGCAACGTTGAAATTTTACCGACAGCTAAGCATTTAGGCTTTGACGTTTAGCGATTTGTTTACAAAAGTCATCATCACTTTCAATACGATAAATATGATTGTAAACCCTAATGAGTGGCATAATTTTAGATGAACGTTTATGTGGATCCATCCTAAAAAGGCAACAAGTCCACAATATAGCAAAACTTTGTGCTTATAGCAGTGTGTCTTGCAAGTGTCTAGTGTTTACAGTTTTTCGGTTCAGACGACGTACCGCAGTGTATCTATAGATAATTTAGTTCATCTTTCAAGACGTTTGAGAGCGGTTTGAAAGGTAGCCTTATTAATCGTCAGCAAATTTAAATCAGGTAAACAATTTTCATTCCTGTCTTTTACCCCCAACTATGTAGTGGAATCGGGTGTGACGGTTAGCAATTTGTAGAAGTCATCATCAGCTTAAATACGACAAATATGATTGTAAGACCTAATTAGTGCCAAAGATCAATTCCTGAAGAGACCAGAAATCCACAACATAGCAAGACTATGTGCTTATAGCATAATATAATAACAGATAACAACAGTCTAGTGATACCCGGTGCCGAGTGTTTACAGTTTTTCGGTTCAGACGAAGTGCCTCAGTGTATATCTATCGTGATAATGTATTTCATCCTTGAAGAAGTTTGAGAGGTACCCTTATTAATCGTCAGCAGATTTAAATAAGGTAAATAAAAATAATTTTCATTCCTGTCAAATCATAAAACATTTACACTGAAGAAAGAACGTGCTATCCTTAGGCGAACACGGTTCACATATGTCAAGTGTCAAGCGCCATTTTTTGTAAGTGCGGTAGCTAGACATGCGACGTTGCCGGATCCTCACATAAATCGGAGTTTGTCATACAATTTTATAGAGGGCATTAATGCTATATCGAAGATTTTATAATGCCATTGTGTGCTATTAATGGTGACACATGCGACATTGAAAAATGAAAAATGAATGAATAATGAAAAATGCAAAATGAAAAATGAAATATGAAGAATGAAAAATGAAAAATGAAATATGAAAAACAAAAAACGAAAAACGGAAAACGGAAATCGTCAGCAGATTTAAATAAGGTAAAAATAATTTTCAGTCCTGTCAAATCATAAAACATTTACACTGAAGAAAGAACGTGCTATCCTTAGGCGAACACGGTTCACATATGTCAAGTGTCAAGCGCCATTTTTTGCAAGTGCGGTAGCTAGACATGCGACGTTGCCGGATCCTCACATAAATCGGAGTTTGTCATACAATTTTATAGAGGGCATTAATGCTATATCGAAGATTTTATAATGCCATTGTGTGCTATTAATGGTGACACATGCGACATTGAAAAATGAAAAATGAAAAATGAATGAATAATGAAAAATGCAAAATGAAAAATGAAAAATGAAATATGAAGAATTAAAAATGAAAAATGAAATATGAAAAACAAAAAACGAAAAACGAAAAACGGAAAACGGAAATCGTCAGCAGATTTAAATAAGGTAAAAATAATTTTCAGTCCTGTCAAATCATAAAACATTTACACTGAAGAAAGAACGTGCTATCCTTAGGCGAACACGGTTCACATATGTCAAGTGTCAAGCGCCATTTTTTGCAAGTGCGGTAGCTAGACATGCGACGTTGCCGGATCCTCACATAAATCGGAGTTTGTCATACAATTTTATAGAGGGCATTAATGCTATATCGAAGATTTTATAATGCCATTGTGTGCTATTAATGGTGACACATGCGACATTGAAAAATGAAAAATGAATGAATAATGAAAAATGCAAAATGAAAAATGAAAAATGAAATATGAAGAATGAAAAATGAAATATGAAAAACAAAAAACGAAAAACGAAAAACGGAAAACGGACAACGTTAAACGGAAAACAAAAAATGAAAACTTATAAAAGATGACAGGTACCAGATACCAGATACCAGAAACCACATACCAGATACCAGATCCACATACCAGATACCAGACACCAGACACCAGATACCAGATACCAAATCCACATACCAGATACCAGATACTAGACACCAAATACCAGATACCAGAAACCAGATACCAGATACCAGATCCACATACCAGATACCAGATACCAGACACCAGATACCAGATACCAGATACTAGATACCATACACCAGATACCAGACACCAGACACCAGATAGTTGATACCAGAAACGAGATACCAGATACCAGACACCAGATACCAGACACCACATACGAGATACCAGATACCAGACACCAGATACCAGATACCAGATACCAGACACCAGACACCAGATACCAGACACCAGATACCAGACACCACATACGAGATACCAGATACCAGACACCAGACACCGGATACCAGATACCAGACACCAGATATCATATACCAGACACCAGATACCAGATACCAGAAACCAGATACCAGATCCACATACCAGATACTAGACACCGGATACCAGATACCAGAAACCAGATACCAGATACCAGATCCACATACCAGATACCAGATACCAGCTACCAGACACCAGACACCAGACACCAGATACCAGATACCAGACACCAGACAACAGACACCAGACAACAGACACCAGACACCAGACACTAGATCCCAGATACCAGATACCACACACCAGATACCAGACACCAGATACCAGATAAAGAGATAACAGATACCAACTACCAGATTCCAGATACCAGATACCAGACACCAGATACCAGATACCAGACACCAGACACCAGATACCAGACACCAGATACCAGATACCAGACATCAGATACCAGATACCAGACACCGGATACTAGATACCAGACACCAGATACCAAATACCAGATACCAGATACCTGATACCAGATACCAGATACCTGATACCAGATACCAGATACCTGATACCAGATACCAGATAAAGAGATAACAGATACCAAATACCAGATACCAGATACCAGACACCAGACACCAGATGCCAGACACCAGATATCAGACACCAGATACCAGACACCAGATACCAGACATCAGATACCAGATACCACACACCGGATACCAGATACCAGATACCAGATACCAGACACCAGACACCAGATACCAAATACCAGATACCAGATACCTGATACCAGATACCAGATCAAAGATGCCAAAGGATAAAAAATGATTAGAGATAGGGATAAAGTTATCGCTAGCATTGATTAGCATACCAGCAACTGCGCTATGTGAGGTTTTAAATAAAGACATCAACGTGCAATATTTTGCATAGCGTTAGCGTGCCAGCAACTGCGCTAGTCGCCCTTATTAGTAGCCGTGCTCTCGAATCCGGCAGGACGTATCATTTTCAATACAGGTTGGATGCAAAAATTACTTATGAACTCACGGCCCGAAGGGCCAGTTCGTTTAATGCTTGTTCAGGACAACGTCAAAGTATCTGACTAAATACCATAGCCGCAAGTACTTCTCATCCATTCACCTGATCGGAATAAAAGAAGCTCGAAGTAGCCGCTATTGGTTGGAAGTGTAAGGATCTCAGTTCACGCTTAATAACCAAGTCATCGTGTGACCTAATCGGCTGACGATTCCGGCTGTATAGTAGATGTGGTCTAACTGTCATTAAATATACTTAACTTAATTTATTACAAGAAGCTGTTGTCAATACATTAATCAATGAAAAACGTTTCTATAAGGATAGAAAAAAGATTGTTTACTGTTATTTCTCTACTAAGTGCAGGTAAATAAGCATTTAAATCAGCCAGGCATTCAGTGAACAGAAAAATTGAAACAGCTGCAGCCTGGCATGGAGTGCATTCAAACAGAAACTTTATTGTACGTTATAGGGCAGTGTTCGCGTATACCTATATCACGATGGATGTTCGAGCCGTTAAAAGCTGTCCAGTTCAAAGAAAAAGGAATTTATAGGTAGCGCCGGTCAGTACGGCGAGTCTCTCGCTTCGACAGAGAACTATTTAAATCATTTGTTGCAGTTACGGACAGTTTAGCTTTAATTGTGTACCAGGGTAACTTTTAACGTGGAATGAGTCGTAAATTGTAAGAGTCACCGCCGCTCTCCTCAGTGAAACCTCACACAAGACGTCCGTAAAGTTAACAGTGCGGTTCGTAGCGAATCCAACAGGATCCTCCTTCCAGGACAGTTTCGTTTAGTAAAATATTCCACTTCGATCAACCCCCTAAGTTGGAAAAACCGTGTTTCGTCCCTTCGTTTTTTCACCGGTTTAAAGCGATTCAATTATACTTCCGCATCATAGCATGGCATCTGCACTATATGGATGCTAGGATTGTAGAGCTGTTATGAAACTCTAGGTTTTTTGGCGGCTAAACGAAATGACATATAGAGGGGTGACTCTTCACTAACCTTCCAGCCACCTCGATGGCTTTTTTCATAGTTCGTATCGAAAATGCCATTGACGATATATTTTATATTTATGCGTCTTACAAGTGACAGTATATTTGTTTTTGCCGCTCCTATACAGTCTGTTGCAACAGCTTGAATAGTCCCGCGCCATGCAAAAGCAGCACGAAGCCATCATATACCTTGTTAAGCACAGTAAAGTTCAGGTCAGTTGGGGGTTAACATTTCCGCCCTCAAGAAAAATCAGGCGACTAAGATGGTTAGTAAGGATGTACAGCTATCCTAAAGAAAAAACCGAAATATAATCTTTTGGAGCCAATTACCATGGCCTGTAAGGCACGATATCGCTTGCAGGTACGATTCACGCCCTTAGTAATAATTATATTTATTCACCAAACGACAATTTGTAATAAATCGTATAGGATGGTCAAAGATAGAATAACGAATTCATAACACCTACAGGACACATTAAAAGGGTCAATGTAAAGAATAAGAATTGAACATACACACTCATGATACAACACTACATGTATTTGATAAGAACATGAAGAATTGATCAACGCCATAAAAACACTGATCAACTGAAATTTCTTTCACACACAAATTAAAATTGACAATCGACTCAACAGTTTGAGGGAAAGCGTTGAACTGCCATAGGCAGTCATGAGCGTACATGCCAACTCTGTATTTGGCAGTCTACTGATATTTTTTATAACTTACATACACGCACACACACACACACAGCCGACCTACACACACACATCTTCAAAATGGCAGGGAAGGGTTAGTATATTAAATTTTTTAAAAACCTCTTTACAAGACCCTATGTTAGGTAGAACTACCAGATATCTAACTGCCCTCAGAGGGGCTACAAATACATCTTGTGAATAATTATGTGCCCATACCCCAGAAACAGAGGCCATAACGAAGTTTGCTACTAGCGTATCATCAATGACCTTGAATTGTTCGTGAGAAATGCTAGTGAGTGTCGCTTGCAGATTAGTGATTGGCAATGAAATCTCCAACTCAAACACGGATCTAAGTGCATATCTAGGAACATTATTCAATGTTGATGATTATGGACAAACGTATCACCAGTAGCATCAAATTGTCACAACACCTGTCTGCTGAGAAACCTTAGAGCTAACGTTTTTTCTCCATTCAAGGGTAATCCATCCCTGCTAAACCAACCGCTGTTGCGGTTAATCGTGAGGCTACATTTTCGTTCCAGGATCGACCATAATAAGTGGCTACTGTGCACCTAATGCAAATTCAAACGTGGTCCCATGATGCCATTTGCCGTTGCCGTGACGTACCTAGCACCCGAAGTCGTGATCACGTCACGCTTTTTCACAGTATTTGGTCGTGATTCGTGATTTATAAAAACCAGTTACTAAATCACTTTTCCTGAAATATCTGCCACCACTAACGACAATAGTTCTGGGTGGGTTTTCGTTCGCTTCAGATATACTGAACGTCTTTTGGGTGCGGGTATAATTATCCCAGGAGGTCCTGGACTTTGCTGTGTTGGCCTGATGCCATTTTGAAATAGTAGTGATACCATCACGCTGTCTTGGTATGATATAGTATCGTTCAGGTTGTTGATGAATACGCTGTATAGTAGCGTCAAAAACAAGTGAAGTGTCACTTAGAAGATATAAAAATATAAAATGTATGGCCAATAGTATTTGTAAATGGTCGCTTTGAAAAAAACATTGGGCTGGCCGAAACCTTAATAAAAATATATTTCTACGTAGCAGTATGTGGCTATTTAGTGTCCAGGAAAGTTTGGGGATTTATCAGTATGGCAACCACAGTATAATCTAACATTAATCTATAAACTTATGTTTGAATATTCAATTGAAAAGGTGCTTGTTAGGTTGACGTGTTCAGGAACCCTTGTAAGCGTATATTTTTGAACGAGGTTTTCTATACAGTTATTCCTCCTCTCAACATTTTGATGGTGTTTCAAACTCTCTCCAGGTATGGCAAACAGAATATTGGATTCATGTGAAATGCAATTATGTTTGTAACTAGTATATTTTTGTATTGCTAACATGATGGAAGAGTTATACCAAAATAAGAGCATTATGAAATCTATAAAATATGCGAATTCTGACGATTACCAGCCTCTCTTCTAGACAACCTCTGTTATTGCTATTTAAGAATTTGTGTTGATAGCAAATACCATATGTCATACCGTTGGACATACAATATATATGAGGGCTTATTAACGTACCCAGGGACATGAAATCGCGTTGAAGTTATTTGGGCCCAAACCTACAACTGAACCCGTAGTGCAAGAGTCTAATAAATTGATTTTTCAGGAGACAATAAGAACCGTGTCACTGACAAAAAAAACAGTTTCAAGGTACGTTTTTGAGATTAGTGAAGTATTTGTGTTCTACAAGTCTGGAATTTCGAATAACCTACACAATTTATTAATCATAATAATAATGGTAAAAGCCTGAAACACTGTTACGGACTTACGTCATTTTAGAAGGAAACAAGGTTAGTGGTGAAGCGGAACAATAATATTAGTTATATTTTTCATTGCTTATTGTTGAACATTACACTTATGTATTGACGTAACTCGCCACGTGTCTTAATTGTGCTTGTTTTAATATTTTTAACGTACAAAATCCGGGCGAAGCGCAATCCTGGGAATGTAGAGTTTCCCGTTTTACGTCGTTACTATCAATCGACCATCGTCAAAAAACACATAGACCTGTTCGTTCAATAATCGGCAATTGATTGTAGAAGAATCCACGTTATGTAGCTACCAGGCACCAAATGGATCTCTTCAACAAAAAATTTAGATTCCGAGATAGGTGTTCTGGGTGGACTGTTTTTATGCTGTCTATATTAACAGCTATTAAAATATTTACCGTATATTTGAAGAACCTTCGCTGCCATACAAATGAGGAGAATAGGATGGTTTGGCATTTTTCGTATTTCTCCTATTTTAAGTAAAATCGAGGGATTTTGAAATTAAAAAACGGACAAAGAAATATGAGTGCAAAATATTAATGTTTACATCGACGGAAAGCATCTTAAGATCACGGATCGACGCGAGGTTAGAAAACATACCTGTACGCGAGACTAGACCGCGTGACGTCAGTAGCCAGACACGTGCTGTCGCCCTCATAGAGGTCTTGCATCTTGTATTGTCTTGTATACGGAGTGAAGAGTATACAAATACGAATTTATATAAACTGGGACGGACGTTTGTGTACTTTATTTATTTGTGCTA